TTTTTTTACTGACATAGTGAATCTCTTTCAGACAAAATTCTTGGTGAAGAGAGCCCTTCGTTCTGATACTGGAACGTACAAGATAACAGCAAAGAACATAAATGGTGAAGATACAGCTGAAGTGAAGGTGACCGTTCTGGATCATCCAGGAACACCTCACGGACCTCTTGATATCAGTAATGTGACAAAAGAAGGATGCGATCTAGCTTGGAAAGCTCCGGATGATGACGGAGGTAATCCATTTGTTTTTGCATAAATAAGAGAGGAGGGACATCGATGATAGCCGTTGTCATTTCCAAATCAGACATAGACTGTTTCTGGCTTTCTGATTTTCCAAACGTAGGATTACACTGTTTTTGTTACAGGCGCTGAAATCGATCACTACGTCATCGAAAAGCAAGATGCAAATACTGGTAGATGGACGAACTGTGGTGAAAGCAAGGATACGAACTTCCACGTCGATGACTTGGCTCAAGGCCATGAGTACAAGGTTTGCCTAGATAAAAAAAAATCAAATTTATGAGTAATTTGTACATTTGCGCTCTAGTTCCGCGTCAAAGCTGTGAATCGCTACGGCGAGTCCGATCCTCTCGAAGCAAATCAATCCATCGTAGCCAAAGATCCATTCGAACTTGCTGACAAACCCGGCACTCCCGAAATTGTTGACTGGGATAAGGACCGTGCTGATCTCAAGTGGACACCACCACAGGACGACGGCGGTGCTCCCATTGAGGAATACCTGATCGAGATGAAGGCTGGTAATGGCGATTGGGTCGCCGCGAAGAAAGTACCAGCTGTACCAGGAGGAGAACAGACAGCTACTGTGAATGACCTTAAGCAAGGACAAACATATCAGTTCCGAGTGAAGGCGCTGAACAAAGCTGGAGAATCACGCCCATCCGATCCGAGCAAAGCAATGATTGCTAAGCCAAGAAATCTTCCTCCAAAGATTAACAGAGACATGTTCACTGACTTGCGCATCAAGGCAGGACAGGCAATCAACTTCGATGTGAATGTGGAAGGCGAGCCAACGCCTAAGATTGAGTGGTTCTTGAATGGGCAACCCATTCAGTCCATTGGGAAGACCAAAATTGACAACTCTAATGACAATAACACCAAACTGGACACCAAAGACGCAGCCAGAGCCGACAGTGGCAAGTACAAAATCGTAGCGACAAATGAGAACGGACGCGATGAAGCTGAAGTTGACGTAAACGTTCTGGGTAGGTATCTTTGATTAAGCCATCCAGGATGCATTTTGAACAGACTAGGTAAACCAAAACTTTCTAGATATTCCCGGAACTCCCGAAGGACCACTAGCAGTAAAAGATATCACAAAGGATAGCTGCACATTGCGCTGGAATCCTCCAGAAGACGATGGCGGCTCTCCAATTACCAATTATATTGTTGAGAAACAGGAAGACGGTGGTCGATGGGTACCGGTAGGTTTTTCATTCTTATTCTTTTTTTGAGTGTAAATCAATGTCATCTTGTTTGTTTTTGTTTTGTTGCCCGTGTAAGCATAAAAAGATCACCCTTTTTCAGTGTGGTGAAACGGCCGATACCAACCTGAAGGTTGGCAAACTCAACGAAGGACATGAGTACAAATTCCGAGTGAAAGCCGTAAATCGACAAGGCACCTCAGCACCATTGCAAACCGATCATGCCATCGTTGCAAAGAACCCATTCGATGAACCTGGTGCACCAACTGATGTCACTCCAGTTGACTGGGATAAGGATCATGTAGACCTTGAATGGAAGGTAGGTGGAAGGGTGTGCTAGTATTCACACGTCTTCAAAATCTGCGTCAAAAATGTGATTTAGGCTCCCGAGAACAACGGTGGTGCACCCATTGAGCAGTACATTGTAGAAAAGAAGGACAGATATGGAGACTGGGTGCCTTGCGCCACTGTGGATGGCAAAACTACGAAAGCCACAGCTGGTAACCTTGTGGCAGGGGAAACTTATCAGTTCCGAGTCAAGGCTGTCAACAAAGCTGGTCCTGGAAAGCCATCAGAGCCAACGGGACCGATCGTGGCTAAGCCAAGAAGAAGTGAGTCACAGCCACATATTTTTGGACACTGATGATATCAAGTTTTTCAGTGGCTCCAAAGATCAACCTTGCCGGTCTTTTGGATATTCGCATCAAGGCAGGCACTCCACTCAAACTGGAAGTAGCCTTTGAAGGAGAGCCAGCTCCGACTGCAAAATGGTTCGCCAACAATACCGATCTCGGAGACAGCCAAAGAGCCGACATCACCACAACGCCTACCACATCAGAACTTCTCATATTCTCGAGTGTTCGTGGAGATACAGGGCTGTACACAGTCACTGTGGAGAACGAACATGGCAAAGATAAAGCTCAGTGCACTGTCACGGTTCTGGATGTACCAGGTACACCTGAAGGACCGCTGAAGGTCAATGAGATTCATAAGGAAGGATGCACCCTCAATTGGAAACCACCTGTTGATAATGGAGGTGGGTTTTTTGGCAAATGTTTGGAAGTGCTACCATAACCAAATCTTTCTCTAGGAACGGAGATTCTGCATTATCGTGTCGAAAAGATGGATACTTCTCGCGGAACTTGGCAGGAAGTTGGAGAATTCCCTGAATGCACGGCTAAGGTGAACAAGCTCATCAACGGAAAAGAATACCAGTTCCGAGTGATGGCCGTGAACCTCCAAGGAGAGTCAAAACCACTTGAGACCCTGGAACCGATCATCGCTAAGAACGAATTCGGTGGGTATCTTGATGCATAGCGATATGCGAAGCTTCTTATAATAACTGGCCACTTTTGCAGACGTACCTGACCCGGTCGACAAACCGGAAGTGGTTGACTGGGACAAGGACCGCATTGATATACAATGGAAGCCACCAGCAAACAACGGTGGAAGTCCAGTGAAAACCTATATCGTGGAAAAGAAGGAAAAGGGCAGCGCCATCTGGAACGAAGCCGGAAAGACTTCCGGTACCACGTTCTCCGCAAACAATCTCAAAACTGGAACAGAGTACGAGTTCCGAGTTATCGCTGTCAACGAAGCTGGTCCTTCGGATCCATCCGAACCTACGGATGCTCAGATGGCTAAAGCAAGATACCGTAAGTTACGAAATGCATCAAAATTTCCGAAATAACCCTAACGGTAGCATTTCAGTAAAACCAAGGATACTAACTCAGACACGCAAGATCAAAATCAAAGCCGGTAACACTCATAACATGGAGATCGAGTATGCCGGTGCACCTGAACCGATAGCAACATGGGCTTTCGGAGACGGTCAAACTTTACCACAAGAGCTTTTGGTCGAATCAAAGCCTGGCCTAGCCAGCATATTCTTCCCAAGCGCAAAGAGAAGTGACAGTGGAATGTACACTCTAAAAATCAAAAACGAAGTTGGTGAAGACGAAGGCGTCTTTGAAGTCGTTATACAAGGTAAGATCTTTTGCAGCGTTTTCTGATTTCATGACATTCATTGGCATGAATTCCAGATCACCCTGGTTCTCCTGAAGGACCACTAGAAGTCTCAGATGTGACCAAGGACAGCTGTGTGCTCAGCTGGAAGCCACCAGCTGACGATGGAGGATCTGAAATCACCAACTATGTAGTCGAGAAACGCGATACTAAGACAAACACTTGGGTTCCTGTGTCGGCATTCGTGACCGGAACGAAAGTGACCGTACCAAAGCTCGTCGAGGGACACGAGTACGAATTCAGAGTCATGGCCGAGAACGCATTCGGTCGATCAGATCCACTAAATACGACCGAACCTGTACTTGCCAAAGATCCATTTGGAGTGCCCGGAAAGCCTGGACAGGTAAATAGCTTCGATCTCGTTAGTTAAAAGTCATAGACTTTATATTTAGCCTCAAATCGTTGATACCGATAATGACCATATCGACATCAAATGGGATCCGCCACGAGACAACGGTGGCTCTCCTGTTGAGCACTACGACGTGGAGAGGAAGGATGCAAAGAGTGGAAGATGGATTAAAGTAAGATCACACAAATAAAGCTTTTGTAAACTTCCAACCAATGAATTTAGGTGAATACAACGCCTGTAAGTGGAACGACATTCTCGGATGTTAGAGTCCAGAAAGACCACACTTACGAATATAGAGTTGTAGCCGTAAATAAGAGCGGTCCCGGAGCACCATCGGATCCCTCTGCCGCAGCCACTGCCAAGCCGATGTTCGAGGGCCCAGTCTTCGATATGGACATCAACGGCAAGGAGTACCGCGTAAAAGTCGGCGAAAAACTCGACATTGTTGTACCCATGCATGGCTCTCCAACTCCCGAAGTCAAATGGATCAAGGACGGCAAAGACATGCCACTGATAGAAACCAGTGATTCACAGACACGTCTCTGCATCGAAAAAGCTCGCCGTAGCGATGCTGGTCCTATCAAGATCAAGGCTTCCAACGCCTACGGAACAGCTGAAGCAGATATCAAGGTTACTGTCATTGACAAGCCAGGAACTCCTGAAGGACTTGCAAGCGATGCGGTGACAAGGCACACCTGCACACTCAAGTGGACACCTCCCAAAGATGATGGAGGGTCAGAGATCACCGGATACAAGATCGAGTATCAGCCTATTGGATCATCGATATGGGAGAAAGTTCCGGGAGGTGTTGCCGGCACATCGTACACCGTTCGCGGTCTGGAACATGGCGAACAGTACCGCTTTAGAATCAAGGCCGAGAACCTGGTTGGTGCTTCGGACTACATTACCACAGCTCCAGTCTTGATCAAAGATCCATTCGATCCACCAGGAGCTCCTTCAACCCCGGAAGTTACCGGATACGATTCAAATCTTGTATCGCTTGCTTGGAATCCACCAAAGGATGATGGCGGTTCTCCAATTTTGGGATATGTTGTCGAAAGGTTTGAGAAGAAGGGCGGCGGTGACTGGGCACCAGTAAAGATGCCGCTCATCAAGGGCACTGAAGTTACCATCCCTAACCTTCACGAGGGAGAAACCTACCAGTTCCGTGTAAGAGCTGTTAACGCTGCAGGTCAAGGAGAAGCCAGTGGTGGAACCGAACCAGTAACTTGCAGACCATTTGTTGGTAAGTTTCGTTACACAGAGAATTGACGTAGACGTTACTTTCTTGTTCCAGTACCACCTGGAGCACCTGATCAGCCAAGAATCGGCGAGATAACCAAGAACTCTGCTGAAGTATTATGGAGTAAGCCAACAAAGGATGGCGGAGCACCGATTGATGGCTACTACGTTGAAAAGAAGAAAATTGGAGACCCAGAATGGACAAGGGTCAACGCAAAGCCGATCAAGGTAAATTATTAATTGGTCTATGATGGTTTAACTGAAGGATCACTTATTTTTGCAGGGTACATCTCTTGTTGTGGATGGCCTTGGCGAGAAAGAAGAATACGAATTCCGAGTCGTCGCCGTGAACTCAGCCGGAGAAGGCGAGCCATCAAAACCATCAGACTTGGTGGTCATCCAAGAACAACCGGGACGACCAGTATTCGACCTATCAAATCTCAAGGATATCACTGTTCGCGCTGGAGAAACTATCCAAATCAAGATCCCGTACAGTGGTGGCAATCCAAAGCCCATCGTTGATCTGTTTAACGGAAATACACCACTGTTTGAGAACGACCGCACAGTTATTGATGTGCTTCCTGGCGAGATCGTCATCACAACCACAGACTCGAAGAGAAGCGACGCTGGTCCTTACAAGATCGTTGTTTCCAACAGATTTGGCAAGGACACAGCGAAGCTTAATGTGAAAGTGTTAGATGTGCCCGGCAAACCGACGGGACCCATCAAAGCATCGGACATCCAGGGAGACGCAATGACACTGAACTGGTTGCCGCCAAAGGATAACGGAGGCGACGACGTCACGAACTACGTTGTCGAGAAGAGAACTCCAGGTGGAGAATGGGTTACGGTTGGCCATCCGGTCGGCACTTCTATGCGGGTGAGGAACCTTGACAAGAATCAAGCTTACGAGTTCCGCGTTTCTGCCGAAAATCAATATGGTGTGGGACAACCACTTGAAACGGATGATGTGATTGTGGCCAAGGATCCATTTAGTAAGAAGCGCTATTCTTTCTTGCAGATTACACGGTTGATTTTGTTCTTTTAGCCACTCCTGGACCACCTGGACAACCAGAAGCTCTCGAGACTTCTGAGGAGGCCATCACCCTTCAGTGGAGCCGACCGTTAACCGATGGCGGAGCTCCAATCCAAGGATATGTCATTGAAAAACGTGAAGTTGGCTCTAAGGAATGGAAGAAGGCAGCATTCGGAGCAGTTCCGGATACCAAATACAGAGTATGTGCTATCTAGCCACAATTATCTCTTGCCTATCAAACCCTTCGTTTTAGGTAACCGGATTGACACCAAAGAAAGAGTACGAATTCCGTGTATGCGCTACGAATGCAGCTGGTAATGGAGACTGGAGCGAAGAAAGCTTCCCAATTGCAGCTGAGAAAACACCTACAAAGCCTGTCATCAACATGGGCATGCTCACCAGGGATATCATTGCCTATGCTGGAGAAACCGCTAAGGTATGATCTGTTATCATTTTTTTT